TTAACTGTTTTAAATGGAATTCCAGTGCTAATACAATAATAACAATAACAATAACAACAACAACAACAACAACAACAACAACAACAATAATAATAATAATAATAATAATAATAATAATAATAATAATAAATCCTATCTCAAAAACAGAAGCACACCAACAGAATGGTGTGTAAGAGCTCTTAGCTTAGTATTTAGATTTTCATAGTGGATACAAGAAAACGTGCACCTAGCATTAGAAGGCATGCCAGTTCCATCCATTCCAGAAGTTAGTGGCTTGATAGGCTGTCCTCCATACATTTGTCTACTATCCTTTTTAAGGCACCCAAATTAACTATTCCAGCTATGACTGTCCTATTCGCAATGGTCTTTGCTCTGGCCCTATTTAAAACTTGGCTGCTTCCAGAACCAGGTTAGTGTGGGTGATGAATCCCATATGCATATTCTATTTTTAAACAAGACTGTTGTTGTTTTTTTCTGAGTTTTGATTTTTTTTCTTTATTTTTATTGTACCTTAATCACTGAATTTGTAAGTCACTGAGAATCAGAACAGATTAGGGAGACATCTACATTTCATAAATGAATAAATGATTGATTACCATTCCGTTTAGTTATACCTTACATTTAGCTTTATTGTGAGAAAAAAATGTAATTAAATGAGACAAATACATATGATTGCTTGAACTGAAATAGGTTATTTTTAAAAACCCAACTTCATCTTAAAATTTATGCATGATTTACATATAATTAATACAATAATAAAATAAAGTGAAGAAAATGCACAGATAAACACATCCAGAAAAGCAGCACAGTATTTTTCAAAAGGCAAAAGAGGCACTTACTGGCTTACACAACTCTCTGTCAGTTTTGGCTTCCATTTCCCACACATGATGACCATCTAAAGATAAGGACATGAAAGATCCAAATTAATGTGCTTAGTGCATAATAAATCACACAAATAAAAGGGAGGGCTCCCCTTTTAAGATATCTTCATTATGCAGACATGATATTCAAGATGAGTTCAGTTTTGTAGTGAATAAAGAAATAAGCACTTCTATTTAAAGAAGTTCGAGGAAGGGAAAGGAACGGTTTATCGACTGATTCTGCTTCCATAGCCAAAGACCTGATTCAGTCCCCAATGAATGCTCTTTCTTTTTGTCTAATTGGGTAGAGTTGCCTAATTTATGAAAACCTTCTATCAAAAGAAGTAGGGTCTCTTCCTACTTGTGATAGGTAATCTCACTGCAAAGTAATTATCATCCACTAACTTTTATTTATTTTTTTAAAAATGTGTATTTTATAAAATACAACAAAATGCAGTGGTTTGTTTGATTTTATCTATTCCTATTCATATCAGCGTTCAATTGCAACTGCAGCTTATATTGTGTCTAATAGAAAGTTTTTAGAAACTTTCTATTAGAAACTTGTCAACATGACAGCATGGCTACCTGAGGAATTCTGGGAATTGACGTCCATAAGTCTTAAAGTTGCCAAGTTTGGAAACCCCTGATATATAGAGAGGATAAGAATCAGGTTATTGAGTAAGGTAAACATGAAGTGTCTGTGTTGTACATGAACCCTCAACTGGTTCTGAAGGTCAGAAGTTCCACATGAAAGATATGTTATCATCATAGCTTCTGGGGCAAATGTTGATGAAATCTCAAAGTCTGGTTGAGGCCAACTGTGCTAAAGACACTTGACCAGTGAAAAGTTTAATGTGTTCTTGGGCTTTTGATATTAATAGAATGCCTTGGAAAGGCTAACTGGGTATAGTTAGCAAAAGTATATTCCAGCCATGCCCTTTTCTGGCTTAATTTTTAATTCTTTCTTCCCACATTTTATTGTGGTAACTACATTGTGGATTCAAGCTAGGGGAAGCCAGGTCAAATAGCAGTCTGTGGCCAGTCATGATTGCACATCTTAATTGATTTCTTTAGGTTATTATGATGATTAAAAATGGGAAAAATACTTTCTGGCCTAAGACTGAATGAAAATGCTCTGGGTAGAATATTCTAAATTGATATCCATTTGTCTTTCTGTCACCTTTATAAATGAGCAACAGAACGTTTAAGATTTGGTATATTTAATCTGTTCTGAAAAAGAGGAATTGCTATGTTCCATTTTCTAGTTTTTAAGTTGGTAAAGCATATATGGGAAAGTACATTTTAAGAATAACTTAAGTTTTTTAAAAAGTCCAAAAGTAGGGACGCTATTGAGTGTGCTCGGCAATCTGAAAGAAGCAAGCGTTACTGCTGCTGTATTACGAAATTCCCCTGAGACTCTCCAGACTTTCTCTATTACAGAAAAGAAGGGGAAAAATAAATTACTTAATAAGAATAAATCTCATTTAACAAAAGCAGAATAAATCAGTTATGGTGCTTTGAGTCAGTTGGTGCCTATATGGACAATTCCATGCAGTTTCTTGGCAACAATTCTGAAGTGGTTTGCCAGTACTTTCTGGGACTAGGAGACAATGGCTGGCCAGAAATCATCCAGCTGTTTTTCATGCCTAAGGAGGATTAGAACTCACTATCTCCCACTCCTAATCCAGAGCCTTTAACTGAAAAAGTTAAGAGAGAAGAGGGGTGGAGAGAGGAGAGGAGAAGAAAGGAAAATCAGACAATTCCTCATGTTACGTCTGGTGAACCAAAAGGGAAATCTCTACACCCACAGACTGGGATCCATTCCAAGAGAGAAATCCTAGATCATTACACCAACAACTCTACAGTAAACATGTTTTGTAAGTGTATATGAATCAACCTGCTTGTTTTTAAGAAAAGACGCAGGAATAGATGAAATAATTTTTAGGAGTCTCAAAATGCTAAAAAGACTTTCTTATCCTGAGGAAAAAAGTTTTAGGCCAGTACAATATTTGCCAGTTATCCTATCCAAGTATGCAAGATGCCGTCTCTCGTCAGACTGTGCTAGAAAAGTGAGGAGTGATACGCCACAAAAGTTTCCATTGTAAAGCTGCCACATCTGCATCAGCCTGGCTGACTCACAACTGAAGGCAACTCCCTGCCTGGCTGAAATCCAATGAAAGTACACCAGAGCAATTTATACCTTTCCAAAATGCAAATAATTCAAATTACAGACATAACATAAAGTTGAAACAGACACATTTCAGGCATTCCCTGTTTGAACTGAACTTACTGAAGGGTTTCTTCCCAAATGTTGCTTATTATATATGTAGAAAATGCCAATAAAGCAAAAAGTAGCAAATCTTTCATCTCTCCTCATCACCTATTTCACCCCTTCAAAAACAAAACAAACCCCCCCCAAAAACCTGTAAGCAGGTTGGGGAGGAGGGAGAGAGAGTGAAAAAATCCTCTGATTTTGGTGAGTACTGTTGTTTTATTTTCTGTATGCTTGGAGTAAAATATTTACTTCTTTAAAATCTGATGCACGATGGTTTTAGTTTTGTGTTAATTTAAGATTGGGGTCCAGGAGTTGAAATGGCAAATGCACAACTTATTTCTAAACACAAGCATGCTATCGAAATAAGATGTCTTTTAAAAAGGGAAAAAAAAAGGGATCTTCGCCTATTGTTTGTGTCTAACTGCTGAAATTAATGCCAGATTCTGCACAGGAGATTCAGTCCTAAGGTTATGTCCATCCAGGGAATAAAGAGATCCAGTGCTGACACTTCTGAAGCTGTTCATTAGCTTCTTCTCTTACCTAAGGGAAACAGGCTAACTAAACAGAGGCACAGCCTTCCTGTTTATACAGCTGAAGGCAAGGTGGGGGAAAATCCCAGAACAAGTTAAATTCACAAATATAAACTGAAGCTTTCCCTTCATTTTAACAGGGTCTGAAATACAATTAATGAGAGAGATTAAGAGTGGCTTCTCACATTCACTTCCTATACTGAAGCCCCCACATTTTTTTTCTAAGTGGGCTTTGTTTCGCACCATACAAATCCAAAAGGCTTAACAGAGGGTGTTTTTCTAAAATTCTGGAGTGGCTTTCATTTTGGCAGCCTACCAGAAAAAAGCCATAATTAACTCCTTCAAACATGCACTTCAGTGTGCTGCCAGAGAAGAGTTCTGGCTCGTGTGTGTGCATCCTCACATCTAATAGGAACTGTTTCCCAGAAAAACCAAACACCAACACAACTTTTCTCATTAGGATGCGGATAAAAATATTCCTGTAGGACAGAAGTGACTCAGTTACCATTCAGGGATATGGGGTGTTTCACGCGCGGGGGGGGGGGGGGGGGAGAGATTTGGCACTGAGAATGGTGGCAGGGAGTTTTGCACCCCTATTTCATTACTTCGTAGGCTGGTTTTGAATGGCTAAAAATAAAAGCAAAGTTCCAGAATGGAATGTCTCAGCTCTGAATAGGTCTTTGTAATTCACTCTGTATCCACCATTCTCTGCAGTTAAAAAGGAAACTCTCGGCAGAAGCAAAAAATAAAAATAAAAATCTAAAATCATCAGGGAATTCCCTGCACTGAGTCACAGAAACGGCTTCCCCACCACACCCATTGAGAAGATTTCCACAGAAAAAGCCACTGGAGGCTTGCTCTAACACGGCAGCAAAAGAACTAAAAGGTGTTTTGTGAAATCTCATCGTCCTGGTTATTTCTAGGCAGCATTTCTATTAGGGGATACGCCATTCAGTATTTTTTCTTCATATCAATTAAAATCTCAATAGTATTATGGGAGAAATTTAACTAGAAATAGATTGACTTCTTAATGAATGATTAGGCTTCACTTATACCTCAGCATATTTTGTGTGATAAACTGCATGCCTTCCATCTTGTATGTTTGATGGTCATATTTAAGGCTAAGCCACAACTCGGAAAAGTGTCTCCAAGGGGTGAAATTCAACAGGTTCTGGAGAACCAGAAGCAGAAATTCAGCAGATTCTGGAGAACCGGAAGGAGAAATTTTGAGGAGAACCGGAAAATATCACCTCTGGCTGGCCCCAGTGGGGTGGGAATGGAGATTTTGCAGTATCCTTTCTCTGCCATGCCCACCAAGCCATGCCCACAGAGCTGGTTGTAAAAAAAAAAATTGAATTTCACCACTGGTCTCTCTCTATAAACAAGTTTGGAAATGAAACCCAGGGAATGCTCTCAGAATTGCAATATCTTGCAAGTGCAAGAATTTCATGAGTGTTAGTAGCTTTTGACTTTAAACAGAATTACAGAATCAAATGCACTTTTGAAATCTATCTGGGTATTTAGTTTGGCTAGAAGGATGATTCAGTGCACATATATCTTCCCTAAGGGGTTGACTCTATTCAGATAGATGAAGCTGCTTAATTCAACAAGGGGGCATATATGCCAACCTTCATCAACCGGATGTTGTTCCCCCCCACTTCAGATATGTGTTAAACTATAACCATATCATCACCATGAGTTGGCTGGCATTATGAAAATCATAATCCAATATATGGTAAGAAACCTAGGTTGTATATATCGGACCTGTGATTTTACTCCAATGCTAACAAGAATGTCATGCTATATAAAATTTATATTTTGTGTCCAAAAGGTAGATTTTTTTCCCCAAAAGGCAACTGGACTTGCTTGCCTTTCCTCCCCCCTTGGAAATATTTTGCTTCTCATCCAAGAATTTTCTTCAGTTCCTTAGTTTTTCACTTTACACATTTGGAAAGAAAAAACCCAAGGAAAGTCCAGTTGTCTTTTGGAAAAGCACCTTTGAAAAGAGACCTGGATGATTGCGAATCTCCATAGGCATTTATATTTTTGTATTTAATTCTGTTTAAATTTGATTCAGCAATCCGGTGTCTGATGTGTTTTAAATATTGCATCAGTAGCATTGCATTTAATCAGCCTACAATTGAAGAACTAATTTGCCTACAAATGTTTCTCTTATTTAATTGGAACTGAGATTTGAATTCTGCTCTTGCACATCTAATTCTCATGCAAT